TAATCCATAATCAGCCGTGTCTTCCAACATCAACAGGCAGTTTAACTACTTTATCTTTAACCGTTTCTATTGTAACAATATTCGTACTTTTAATTTGCATTTGACAAGCTCATCAATGCATCCACATAATAGAATGATAATAGCCATGATTACTCTCAATCCGAATATGGACAATAACATGACTACTGTGACCCTATGAACTCATCTTCTTAGTTATTGAACTAGAAGAGAATACATTTTGCTTTGTTTTTCAAAACATTTTCTTTTAATAAACGATAACCGATTACGGATCATTTAAGAGTCAAAAGATATGAATTACTTGTCTTCGGAAGAATATTTGCCAGATTTTATTGTGAAATTATATACCATTCAATAGAGAATTAATTTCTAAACAAAGTTATCTGAATATGGCTTAAAGTTAAAATCAAAAAATTCTAATTTGATTTGACGCCGATAGCATAGTTTCTCTTAATAGCTTTCCTTCAGCAATGGGATAACAAAAATCTAAAGAATATACTTCCCATCGTCCTCGAATACTCTCTTCTGATATTCTTCTTTCGATGACCACTCTCTTGTACGTACATTCGAACATTTATGTGCTGATTGAAATATGATCGATAAAATTGGTGTAATATCATGAATTACCTATCGAAATAGATCGTTCTATGTGCGATATTGAATACTTGTACACAAATTCAGTAAGTTACATCAATAACGAAAAATGTTCAAACATGACAATATCATATTATTTAATGAGTTATGAATCAATGTACTTTTGTTTACAAATTAATTTCTTGTAAATGCAATGGTTGAAAAAAAATTGCCAAACCATTAAAATAACTAAATATGGTCTCATTTAACACATTACTTTTGTTACCTATTTTATTCCTTGTAAAATACTGCATATACTTCTAGTAGCCTATATTCAATATGAGAATAAATCTCATCTGTATTTCGAATAACCAATATAACTATTATTATTTTATATATTTATTTGAATGACAATGTCGTCCATTATTTATTTATTCATTTTCATTTTCTTTATTGTTCAAATTTCTAGTGAATTATCTCGTATTCACATTGATCTAAATACTCAACATTTTATTGATGAATATGGTCGTATATTTCATGGTGTTAATGTTGTTTATAAAATTTCATCTTATTTACCAAATTTAACTCATTTTGATCCATAAAATTCTCTAACAGATGATGATTCAAATAATTTACATCAATGGGGTTTTAATATAATTCGGTTTTTATACATCATGAATGGGTGTAAATTATCATTCTGAAGATGAAATTAATCAAGAATATCTTTCACAATTATCAATAGCTATACAAATGAAGGAAAATAAAGGTATTTATACTTTACTTGATTGTCATCAAGATATTTTTTCAAGATATTTTTGTGGTGAAGGTGTATCCGATTAGATAGCAAAGAAATTATGTGATACAATGTGGATGTCGGTTGTGGATGTAGCTGTTTAAGAACAGACGCAAGCACCCACACCCTAACACGGTATTAACTGATATTCATCTGGTATAGGGTAAAACCAAACAATTGTAAAAGAAACATAAATTTATTATGTCTGATGTCGAAATAACGTAAAAATCTTCTATGGAGTAATAAATACAACCTTGTCTTTTACGTCATTTACTATTCTGATGTACTCATTTCGATATAATGCACGGATTTTGAAGATTTTGAGATAAAAGTTAAAATTTTGATGGGGTTCATTTTTGATTTTTGTTTCAAATAATAAAATCCATTAAGGACACCAATCTATGACAGTGAATCGTCTGTTTCGGCTATTCAATAGATTCAGAACACACATGGTGCAATTTA